CCAGCGAATAAATGAGCTTAACGTCTAACTGTAGTTTTTTTTTATAGTAATTTACCCCAATACTACCTTAAAGTACCTTTACTACATTATACATAATTTTTTTCCAACCCCACTCAATGAACTGTACTGGATAATGTGAGCATGTAAAATTAAGCAATAGGCTGATAAAAAAATTTTCATAAGACTCAAGTTTTTAACGATTCATTTTTGGTCAGAAAAATCAATAACAATATGGCCTAGTAACTTTCCTATTTAAACGTCTGGGCAGCACCCTTATAGCATTATTCTGACGTTACGTGCGCATTGCTACTATATATTAGATGTAGATACACTGCTGTAAGTATCTATACATACGTGATGACTTAAGGGTCAGTGCCTAAGTACACGATCAGACAGAGCTAATTTTGGGAGTACGAATAAAAACTCCGAAAAATCAGGTGTTAGTTTGAGCAACGTTCCGTTGGTCTTAACGCTAACCTCATCAGGCTCACTTTAATCACAAAGAAAACAAAAACAAAAACTACAATAATTTTTGTAAATTACATTGTAGGGCCACTGTTTATAAATATCAATGATAGATACACACGTCTATATCGTTAAGACGATCGTTACAGACTGTTGGTCACCTTAAACGAATAACGCAAGTGTCGAACATGTACGTATTTCTATATATACATATAAACAATAAATGTACGTTTCTTGCGAATATAGATAACGTATGTACGTATTCGAAAGAGATTACTTAAAGGAACTTTATGTGTGTTATTGAGAAATAAGGTATCTTTTTTTTTAATTTATTGTTTGCTTAGACGAGTGTACATGTAGCGTTTCTGATATAAATCTTTTTTGTTTATTTGGTTCATGATCTAGTATTTCGGTTTGAGAAAAATTTAAGTTATGATTGGATTCTTTCATGTGAGAAGCGACAACAAGTTCATCTTTCTTCGTACTTTTGTGAAATGAGAAATGATAGACGATATTGGTTTGATCAAGCTTATCAATTTTGTCCTTCCCACGAATGATAACACTTTCCAATTTGTTTTCAATAGTAGGGTAAAATTGTATATTTAATTTTTTCAAAGTTTTTGAACAAAATTTTAAAAATAACGGGTTGTAAGGGATATACATTTTTATTTAAGCACTTAGATTGTCATTTAGTAAAAAGTTATTATTATTATTACTATTCATTATTTGGTTAAGTCTTTTCTTGATGTATTTTGTACAAAAATATTGGTATAGTTATTATCACGTAAAATCATTTTAGCCATGAGAATATTCTTTCTGTGGAAGGATTTATCAGATAAAAGAATGGCTCGATCAACCAAACCATATACAGCATTGACTTTTAACGATCGGGGATGGTTAGAATTGAAATTAATTATTCTGTTGGATGAAATTGGCTTAACATACCAATTAGTGATTATTTTTAAGTTTTTATGTGTAATTGTAATGTCTAAGAAATTTATACGGCTGTTTTTCTCTACTTCGCAAGTGAATTTCGAGTGATTGTCTTGTTTTTCAAAAATCTGTAAAAACAGTTCTGCCTGATCTTTGTGTACACACATGAGAGTGTCATCGACGTATCTTTTATATAGAAAAGGAACGCAATTATGATCTTCTTTTAACAAGCACAAGGCTTCCATCTCAAGATCTTCTGAAACTAAATCAGCAAATAGTGGAGAGACAGGAGAACCCATTGGGCTGCCAAAATTATGTTTATGAAATTTTTTATTAAAAGTGAAGTAAACATTGTTGAATAAAAATATTGTTCAATCTATGATTCCATGATAGGGAATTTTCAAAAAACTGTGGATTTGCATGTATCTTTTTATCAAACTATTTATGACTGACTCCAACGAAATTTTTGTAAATAGAGTAATAACATCTAAAGAAATAAAAATATAATTTTTTGGTATTTTAAGATTACTCTGACAAGTGGATTACCTTTATGGACTGTCACTTTCTTCAAAACTCAAGACCTCGCAGAAACTACACAACAACTTGACTTATTGTAAGGGCCAACAGACTTTTCTAAAAAAGTGTAGGACACAAAATCATTTGTCCAAACACATTGAACAACTAAAAAGGTACCTTAATAACTTTTCTTTTCACAACAAGTCGGACTATCACTTTTTTAAAAAACGAATATACTCTTTTAGCTACAGTCTACTTAATGTTGAAATTGATGATTGTTACGCACATATATCCATTTTTTAAAGAAATATTATATAGTTTTAGAAGATATAAAGTCTGATATAAAGAAGATACCTACAGTTGGACTCTGACTGGTACCAATGTCTGTATTAGCCCAAGCAAGGCAGCCAAGTTATGACTCAATCCTTTACCTTACTGACCCAGTTTACATTTTTTATTTGAAATACATGTTAACGTTAACTTACTTAACGGTGGAAGGATTTGAAAATTGAATGAAACGAGGAATTTTCTCTGTAATGACAAACATCAAATCAAATGAGCCAATTCAAAATGAATGTGTGAAAAAAAAACGGTAAAAGTAAAAGCTATTAATTTTATGACTTAGGGAATAATAAGTTAGTTTTCATTAATTTTTCACGAATTCAATAAAATAATATTGATAAACGATTACAAAAAAAAATTATTGAAAAAAAAATAAGTTCTATTAGAATTGCATGGCAGCCTCCCTTTCTCCATGGATCCAACGACCATTCTTTTTATTTACTTAAACACAAAAATAACTTCAAACACTATTGTTCATCATTCGGACAGAGAGTGTCCAATTTTTAAAGTCATACTTATATAGGCACGTTCTACGCTGCAGTGTGAACCAAACTTCAGATTTGTGGCTTTCAAAAAATAAGTAACATAAGTGAATTTTGTACATTAATTTTTCCCCTTGCATCGCAGCGTCATAGTCTAACCCTCTGCTCTACTTAGCCCAGTATGCTGAAGCACACTCTTGAAGATCACCACGCAGCACTACCTTGTGTCACGCCACCAACCCAAACACGAATCTTACTGTTTTATGAAAACAAATTTTTACCATAATAAAAAAAAAATATATCCTTATACTTTATCCGATTCTCTAAAAAAACAAAAAAAAATAACTTTTCACATAAACAAACCGGTTATTTTCTGCACGTTAACCAAGTACCCTGTCCACTCTGACGTAAGCAATAGTAGGGGTAAGTGTACCTATCTCCGTGGCACGTACTGAAAATTCCAGCTTAAATGCACCATAAAAAATGGTATACTAAAATTTTTTTGAATATTTTTTTTTTTAATCTTACATAATCTCTTACGGAATATTAAAAAAAATTTTATGAAGCTAAAACTGCAGTAGAATATTTTTAAAACGAATAAAAACGGTATGCTGGTATTACCGTGGTTGTGTACCTATTACCGTGTACGTATTACCGTGTACGTATAGGGTTATGTTTACGTATGCTTACCGCAGAAATACGTACACAATCAGTTAATGAGCGCGTTGTACCGAATACCGTGGAAAATAATTATTTACTCAAAATATACACAAATATTTCTGTTTGAATTGCATCTACATTAACGTCATTTTAGATTATTAAAATTAAAAAATTATTTTATTTGAAACATTTCTTATTTTGAGCAAGTAATCATCAGTTTTTCAAAGTCCACGGTATTAGGGCTGAGCACGGAGATAGGTACACTTACCCTAGTTATAGAGAATCTGCTTCTTTTTGTTGTACTAGCTCTTGTATATTAAATTACTGAAAATGATTTCTTTACGGTTTCTTAATTTAACTAGTTACCTTATATGCTATATTTGTTACGTAATTATTTATCAATTCATAATTTTTTTTTTCTAGCTTTACAAACCATTTGTCTAGTAAAAGCTTATCTTTAAACTACTTAATGTCTATTTAATTTTTTATTACAATAAGGTTTTTTTTTTTTTGATAAAACTTTTGTTTTTTTATTATTGATTAATTCATACAAGGTTTTATGTACAAACTGCTTCTTTTTGTGTTGTTTCACTCTTTTTAATATTTATCATGTGTAGAATAAATTATTTTTAAGCTACATTTAGCATATAATTCTACCCTTTTAAGGATAAAGTGGTACAGTACAATGTTATACATTTTAGATAAGAACAAAAATCTATACCTTTCACTGCAATTATCACAAGCCAACTATGTGATTTTTATAATATAATCCAATTACCTAAGTAAATCGTGTAACGAGGTAAGCCGTACCGAATAAACGAAAGCCACTTTGATGTATTTTTATTTCTAATTGGAAATCAACTAATCATCTACGCATTATCATTATGTTTTTTAACAGTTGTTATTGACAGAATATTTATCATCATTTTATGAAATACAAAATTTAGTTTACGTACATTTTTGAAGCAGCTTCTTAAACTAATATTAAAGTATGACTCCAACGGCAATGCTGTCCAATGGTCTTTATTTATTTATTAAAGCAATGTTTCGGCCACTTTAGAATGAGGCCCTTTTCAAGCAAATTATATCACAGTATACAGGCTTTACGTGATCGCTTACATTTTTCGAGATCTTACTTAATTGACTGTAGCCTGTAAGCGACTCGAACATACTAACGAAAATTAATTTCTATACCGAGGACAGGTATAAAGACATGCGTTGATGACATCATCTTTGTTTTGATGAGTAGGTCCCGTCTTCTATCCATTATGTCTTTGTCCTCGAATGTCGAGTTTTGTAATACCATGATGTATTGATTGTATTCTTGAAAAACGAATTTATTGCAGCCAATTCGTGAAAATTATTTGTAATACTATGAATCTGATGACAGCAGGATATTGCAATATTAAAGTATGACTCTAACGGCAATGCTGTCCAATGGTCTTTATTTATTTATTAAAGCAACGTTTCGGCCACTTTAGAATAAGGCCCTTTTCAAGCAAATTGTATCACAGTATACAGGCTTTACGTGATCGCTCACATTTGTCGAGATCTTACTTAATTGACTGTAGCCTGTACGGTGTAGACTGTAGCCGTTACATCATGGTATTACAAAACTCGACATTCGAGAACAAAGACATAATGGATAGGAGACGGGACCTACTCATCAAAACAAAGACGATGTTATCAACGCATGTCTTCATACCTGTCCTCGGTATAAAAATTAATTTTCGTTAGTATGTTCGAGTCGCTTACAGGCTACAGTCAATTTAGTAAGATCTCGAAAAATGTAAGCGATCACGTAAAGCCTGTATACTGTGATATTATTTGCTTGAAAAGGGCCTCATTTTGAAGTGGCCGAAACGTTGCTTTAATAAATAAATAAATAAAGACCATTGGACAGCATTGCCGTTGGAGTCATACTTTAATATTTCAATATCCTGCGTTCGTCAGATTCATAGTATTACAAATAATTCTTAAACTAATGTTGTAGGTATTGCATACGTTACTGATTGTTAGAATAAGTGTGTCAGCGCAAGTAGCAGACGTGAGCCTGATGTTGTAAATGATTCGAAGGTAGATACTAAATTAAGATAGTTGTTTGAAAATAATCAAAAGATCCAGTAAAAGTAGCTTCTATCGTCTACTATAAGTGTCATAGAATTACAACTTTATACAAGGGTACTCAAGCTTTTACTGTGTACTAATTTACATGAATACTGAGTTTCACGTAAGTGCATTTCTTTTCACCGTAGGTGTACGATTTTTTAACATCGTGTAAGTTTGTTATTGCAAACTCTATGTTTGTTGGAAAGCACCTGTGTGTAGCAGTAAGTCTGCAGATGAGTGATAAAAATTCAAGGCATGACAAGGCTTTATAACTATCCCATTAACTTGGATTTTATTTATTGCCTTTCTAATCAACTCAGTCTGCCTTGTTTTTTTCTCTTTAGTAAATTGTGCATTTTTATGTACACATTTCTTATCGTTATCATTTTTTTTGTTTGCTAGCCTTGTATTGATACTGAAGGTAAAGTTTAAAGAACGCGTTGATGTTCAAAATTAGAAATAAATGGCTGTAAGTCATGAATTTGAGAATAAAGTTAGTCTCTTCTTATCTAAGGTTATAAGTAAAGTTATTTTTGAGATTATACTTTCAGAAGCGCAGTATGTGCAAGAGTAAATCAACGATTTTGGAATTCTGACGTTAAGAAAACCGGTGATAAAAATAAAATTTTTTCATAACATCACTCTTAACCAGTCCTACTTGGACCACAGTTTTACAAGACACATTTTTAATTATATGGATTTGAACCTGCGAATTTTTGTATACATGCAAGGCGTCTTATTTATTAGTATGCTATAGACGCTTCTGAAATGAGACATTTAGTTAATGTATATAATGGTGTGGATCGTATCCTATTTTTTATTTCTATGTTTATTAAGTGCTTATCGATAGTTGTTTTGGGTTAAAAATAACATACATTGATATATTATTCAATTAATAAACAGATTCTTTTTGCATGAGACTTACTCGTACGAGATGTACATCTGTGGTGAACTTTATATTTTTACAGAATACGCAAATAATGGTTTTAATACCATAATAGACGTCTAAGGTAGAAAACTTACATATCTTGGAATTTCTAGATTAATATTATAATAGTAATGTGCCCATACAAAAAAAAACTTTTAGCCACTTATATGCATGTAACTAAGGCAACTACAAGGATGCCTGGGCATCAATAAAAGCTCCATGGTTAAATTTATTCGAAAAAATACATGCACATCAGTGTCAAAAACTACCATTTCACGCACTATTCCAAAAAGTTTTTCAAATAACTTGTGACTACAACACTTTAGTGGTTATGTTGCCCTCATATCCGATGCTAGAAACTCTTACTGTAAAATAGCATTTGTCCTACGTTTTTGATAGCTACAGCTACTCATACAAGTACATAACTAGTAGTGTAGAAACAATTTTTTTCACACTTTTAACTTAAATAACTTTTTTTATAATGGTCGTACAGGTCTTATACCGTTTAATGGCTTTTCTTTTTGGATAATACAAGTACGCTTCTACATTAGGCTAATAATGAATAAGGAGTTAAAAAAGTGTGTTCATATGATTATAAGACAGTGCTTAGAGCTCTTGATGAGAATAACGTCGATCACATACGCCATTGGCATGTCAAAAAATAACCTAAGATTAATTGTTACTTGATCACTGTCACAAGAGTGAGGACCGATATTTTCAATGGCTTTTAATCCATCAACCTATGGTTAGAAATAAACACGAAAGGTAAAAAATGAATAACCTTAGATGTGTGATTCAAGCGAAAAAAGACCAAGTCTCAAGTTGGTGAACGTGTAGTACCAAGCCTCCTAGCTATAAGAACCACAGTCCAAACAACAAGGTTATTATGGCTTTCTAAACTATTTTTTATCAATCATTATTTTGTTGAGAGATCTCTAAGAAGACAAGTAAAAGATTAATTAATTATTAAACAGAAATTTACAAATCGTTTATTTACTTCTTAACTCAAAAATCTTACTAATTCAGATCACATACACATTAATAAGCCTGTTTTAATAGTTTTAAGGGTCCAATTATGGGTTTAAACGTTACAATTTATGTAATTTTTCCTATTTATTTTTTATTAATTGATAGAGTGAATGTATTTAAGAAAATAATTTCAAACTCAAAAAAAATCGTAGACATTCAGATATCTACATAAATATCTTAGTGTTTCTGCTTTTAGACGTTATGATCTTAGTTAATATTATTTATTAACTAATTGAATGAATTTATGACCATAAAGATTATTTTAAACTTTTTCACGTAGGTACTTAAAGAGCATCATCAAACGTACGCTGATAATAATTTTTAAAGTTTTGTTTGTTGAAATTACTGTTTTCAGAACCCTAATAATGTGTTGCATACACATCGTCTTTATTCCATGTCATTTTGAGATAGTATAATATAATCTAACTATTTTGTCACAATAATATTTTACTAAATATAAGTATAACATTTAAANAAAAAAAAAAAAAAAAAAAAAAAAAAAAAAAAAAAAAAAAATAGGCTAAAGAACAGCCGGTCGAACAGCTTCGACGTGTCGATACTGCACGACTGCGGCGAGAGCAAGCAGGTGGCAAACGCCGTGGCCGTTATAACGAACAACAGCTGCAGCAAGGACGCGGTACCGGGAGGCGCCGCGTCGATAATATCGCCCTCGTCGTGGTTTGCCAAGCGCCACCAGCCGATGGCCAAGAAGCGCAACGGGGACGCGGCCACCTCGACCCTGCCCACGGCCCTGAGCTTCAAGTTCGACAAGACACGGGTCGTCAAGGCGGTCAGGGACAGCCTCCTGGCCAAGGCCACTTCGCCGACGAAGGACGGGGCGCGCAACAAGGTCGTCTGGGACGGCAGCAGCGGAACCAAAGTCGACGCGCAGGTACGCACTTCGACTACACACATATTTATACAACTAATAGCTTTTGTACCGATAATTGTTAATGGTGATACGTGCTCGATCGTAGGTATTGGGCAACGCGATCGAGGAGTTTTTGCGCAGCGGAGCTACGGGGGGTGAGTCCCCGGAGGGTAGCCAAGACAAAGCCGCGATATCACCAAACAGGTCCCGCGTTGGTTCCTGGTTCAACAGCGGCACGACGCAGGCTGGCACTGCTGCTGCCCCCTCCGCGGTCACGACGACGCCGACTTCGATCGGCCACTAATGCCCCGCCCCCCTTTTTTTCACAACTTGGTTCATTTATTTTACAAACCTTGGTTTTTCCGGAAACGAATGAAATTCAGAGTGTTGCGAGGGATGTAGGGGGGAAAAAAAAAATATGCCTACATCGTGAAACATCCGAGAATTTAAAATAATAGAGATAAAATCAAATAAACTCCAAGAAATGTTGAAAATGGCATTACAAAACAAAAATGTAGATACATTTAAATTAGCTCACCGTAACAAATGATTTTTATTTTTCTGTTGAAGTCTAATTCAATAACTTTTAGTTTCACCAGATATACTAAACAACGAAACAAGTGCTGATATTTCGGTGAAAGAAGGAGAAAATGCTACTTTGTCATGTAAAGCAACAGGAAGACCAATCCCTAAAATTTCATGGCGACGTGAAGATGGCAGCTTAATTTATTTTAGAAGAATTTCATCATACAGTAAGATTCATTTAACTTTTTTCCACATAATATAATTAAATATTGTAAAAAAAAATTTCACGTTATAGTAGGATCACCCTAGATTTTGGCAGTGAAACGTCATTTTTATCCAGAAAAAAATCAGGATTTATTATAACCTCAACAGCTCACCTGACCTAAAGAGACATAAAATAATGTTAGAAAAATGACCAAAAATGGTAAAAATGGTATTAATAGAGATTTTGCGTTCACAGTAGAAGCAACAATTCCGATTAAAAAATACTGTACATAAATAAAATGCGTTATTTCAAGATAGAAAAGAATTAGCCTCGTTGTGTCTCAATCAGTCAAGCCATTATTTTGCCAATTGCCAAAACTGCCATTTCAAGCTTTATTTTTAAAATTTAATGACTTCCGTCCACATTTATAATAAAAGCTAAAATGAGGCCCAACGGTAGGTATTGTAGCCCTTCAGTGGGATCAAACTAGCTAAAATGTTGGTAATTTTTCATGAAATTCAGACTAGTTAGAAAAAAATATGTTGTAAAGAACTCAACAATGCTAATCGATTGTAATAAAATCGAACAAAAACTGTTTTCCGCTAAAGCTTGAAAAAATTGGCAAAAATGGTAAAACACGGTTTTTAGCGTCGGAAATGAGCAATAAGCCTTAGAATGAAAAATAAAAAATATAGGAGTCTGCATGGCAAAGAAAAGAATAAAATAAGCTTCGGTCAATCCCAATTGTTCCAGTGGTTTCCCCGCAAAATGCAAAAACCCTCGTTTTTTGAGCCAATTTTTAAAATTTAATAACTTTCTTCCGTATAAACAATAAGAGCTGAAATTCAGCAGAGTTGTAGCTTTAATAGTCTTCAACAGTCTTACCAAATTTTACCGAAATCGGATGGATAGTTCTTGCAAACCGCAGCTAAATGCAAAAAAAGGTACTTTGGCAAAAAGACCTAAAAAAAGTTTTTTAAAATGTTAGATGCAATTTTAATGCGGGATTATATTCTTGAATACTTACTCTACAATTTTCAAAAGTATCAAATTTTTTTTCTTTGTGGAAGTTGCTTAAAAATGATAAATCGAATGGGTAGCTTTTGCGCACGGTGGTACGGTGCGTGAGGGGCAATGAGCCGCTGTAGCTGCCGATGTATAAACCACGTCCACTTTCTCCAGCTCGACTCTAGTGTTATCGACACGATACAGTACGCTTGAACTGTAAGTGCTCTGAAAAATAACAATATCTTTGGAACGGTATAACCAACTTCCACACAGTAGAAAAATTTTGAACTCTGGTGAATCGTAGATTAAGTATTAAACAGTATAATCCTGCAAAAAATTGCATCCAACGTTGTAAACAACTTTTTTTAGGCCCTTTTGCCAAAGTACCTTTTTTGCATTTAGTTGCGATTTGCAAAAACTATTGATCCGATTTCGCTGAAGTTTGGTGTGGTTATTAACGACTACTAAAGCTACAACTCTGCCAAATTTCAGCTCTTACTGTTTATACGAAAGAAAGTTATTAAATTTCAAAAATTGGCTCAAAAAACGAGGTTTTTTGCATTTTGCGGGGAAACCACTGGACCACTTGGAATTGACCGAAGCTCAGTTTGTTTGTCTTTTTGCCATGCATACTCCTATATTTTTTATTTCTTATTTTAAGACTTATTGTTCATTTCCGACGCTAAAATCGTGTTTTACAATTTTTACCACTTTTTTTAAGCCTTAGCGGAAAAAATTTTTTGCTCGATTTTGTTACAATCGATTGGCATTGTTGAATTCCCTACAACATATTTTTTTCAATTTAGTCTAAATTTCCATTATTGAAAACTTAGTTCGATTCCACTACTTAACATACATACAAAATAACAGCTGAATCAGATGTAAACTTTTTACGAACCGCAGAGAAAGTCAAAAAAGCCCCCTCAAAAATTTGCCCTGAATTAGTTTTGGGACCATGAAGGACCATTTTTTAAACGTGGTAATTATCTTTGTTAGTTATTCAATGACATGATAAATATTAAATCGTCTTACTCGTTTTTAAATGAAAAATAATTAATCGATCGGAGTGTAATTTTTTTCAGAACCCTAACTTATTATCGAGTATCAAAAACATCCATGGATGTTAGTATATTTTTAAAAGTTTTGATGTGGTAGTTCAAAGGGGTTCAAATGTTCACTTCTTCGAAATGTGGTCGGTAAATAGCAATATCTCAAAACTGGAGCACCCAAAATCGATATTTTTTTTATCTGAAATAGTTTCCAATAAAATTAACTTCACCCGTATCTTCTAATGCCGTAAAATATGTATAATCACTATCCATAAGCAATTGCAGTAATTGTTTACTGTACTTTTGTTTCTGTTTAGCAGCAATATTGTTGTATGGTTTTTTTTTCAGAGTAACGCAATAATATTACATGTTACCAAAAAATGACAAATTATAAAATTGCTTACAAGTATATTTTCAATAATAATTTAGAAGAGAATTTAATATGTTTCAGTAATTATTAAATCAGTATCAAACAATAACTGATTGTTAACATTTAAAAAAAACTTTTGTATCGTATGTCGTCTTGTAAACGTGATACAATTATATTTCACTGCAATGCTATTGTTAAATATATTCGAGTATTATTGTTATGAAAATAACTATAAAAAACTTAATTTTGAGTTACAACAGTTTATTTACTGGTAATTTTGTGATTGATTTACTACTAATCGGTCAGATAAATATTTCTTTTCTTATTAACATATTAGCGATAGAGCTACTTTTTTCATTATAATCAAATAAGGAAACTGAAAAAAAACGTTTTTCCGCCCTCGGGTGGTTTTGGGAGGCTAGTACTTCCTCGGGCAAAAAAGCAGTTTTCCGGAACCCGTTCGAGAAGTCTCCTTTACGAACCTTGTTACGTCCCTCGCCTTCGGCTCGGGCCGCAAACCTCTCGGTTCGCAAACAGAGACTTTCCAAACTCGTAGGAAAACTACTATTTTTTGAGATTAAATTATGTTTTTTAATCAGTAGCATACAGTACAGACAAAATACAGAGAAAGCATAGTAGTGACCTAGTCATGTAAGCCAAGTGAGCTTGCATTTGTGTAGATTTGTCTTGACTGCCATGGAAGAAGGGTTCAGGTTTTTAGTTGCTGGTACGTTGTGCTACTTTCTTACATTGTGGGGATTGTTTATGCAACAGCTAACAATCAAGATAATGACAAAAAAAATACCCGCAAAGATAAAGACAATGTTCAGAAGCCATCATTTAAGGGAGAATTGATACTTGACAAAACATAGAAAGCACACATCATGGATAGTAAGATTATAGACGAAAGCAAGTCTACCCGTCAGAAGTTAAAACCTTCTCTTTACTATCCGTAAAAAAGTGATGTTTCTTGTACACTTTAATGTCCAATGAAAGTCATATGTTATACATAGATTATTTAATAAAAGTGTTAGATACTGTTAAAAAACATGTTTATCATCTTACTGTATAGTTCATATATGTGACTTCTAATGGCCCTCGTCCAACTTTTTATGAATATGCATATACAATCATAAATTAACTTTATCATAGTTAACCTGAAGATCAGGGTATAAAAGTTGTATGTAACCCAATTATTTGTAAAATCACAAATATGGGAGAGCAGTCTTAAAAGGGGTTTTTGAAATAAATATTAATAATACGTTTGTGATTAGTTTAAAAACTTATTATAATTATCAATAAGCATGCAAAATTATATTTTGTAACTTATGAAATAATCACAGAAATAGCCGAAACTTTTTTTTTTATTTTTAAAATTAATATAAGCAATATAAAATTGTGAATACGTTTTCACATAGTTATTATTTTTTATTAACAAGCAATATTTTATGGTATCACTTTAAACAAAACTACACTACAGCATAGCAGCTCAACAAAAAAAAGGTGAAGTATGCAATCACTGTAATTATTTAGTTGTGACAACTACATTCAATATGCAAAATTTTTTAATATGTGCAAAGTCAATATTATTGAAAGCTACCCCAGATGAAAAAAATATCAATTTTTAATGTTCTAGGTTAAAGATACTTTACTAAAACGCCGAGAGTGCACTGTGAGAGAGTGGTTGACAAATCTTTGAGCAGCCACTAGTACACTGCAAAAAATACTAAAATCAATTAATGATCTCAATACTTGGAAACAAATATGGGTCCTTAAAATTTATCAGCTTGTAGAGTAATGATTCACAAACATAACTGTAACGTTTAAAAATTTGTCTTACGCAGTCCCAAAGCTAGTTTACGACCATTTTTTGAAAGGGCTTTTTTGGTTTTGTCTTTAGTTTACAAACAGCTTACATCTAAGCCAGCTGAAATTTGGTATATATATTAGAAGCTATAACACCAATCTTCAATTTTAATTGAATCTTTAAATACTCATTGGAACGGGAGTTATTAATTTCTTAAACTATGGACCAAAACAGCCATTTTTGAAATTTTCAAAAAAATCGACCTGATTGATTTAGGCCCCACCTGCTTATTTTTATTGTCTTGAAATGGTGCATCTTCTTAGCATTAAACATTTCCTTATTTCAATTGTTGTTTATCTGTGAAGGCAAAAAATTTACTTTTGCTTTGCTTATTACTTTTTTTGGCCTCTACCTTACAATTTCTTTTGTGTATTTTTTTCAGTCAGGTGTGTACTGTAAAGATTGGAATCTCTGTCCTATTTTTTTTTTTGGAAAAATATGAATTT